AGCCTCATTTTCAATGGAAATGTAGCCAGCGCCTCGGCGAGAGCGCCAGGGCGCCTGCAATGGGTCCAATAATAATTGATTAGTACTTAACATGAAACAACAACAACAACAACAACAACAACAACAACAACAACAACAACAACAACAACAACAACAACAACGACAGCAACAACAACAACAACAACAACAACAACAACAACAACAACAACAACAACAACAACAACAACAACAACAACAACAACAACAACAACAACAACATCAACAACAACAACAACCACAACCACAACCACAACAACCACAACAACAACAACAACAACAACAACAACAACAGCAGCAGCAACAACAACAACAACGACAACAGCAACAGCAACAGCAACAGCAACAGCAACAGCAACAGCAACAGCAGCAACAACAACAACGCAACAAGCAGAATCCTCACCACGGATCCGCAGTAGAGCCACTCACCCAGGGACAATGAATGACCGTTCGGCCCCCTCCCTCTGATATACATATATATATGTGTGTATACATGTAAATCCGCCGACCCTGTCGGCGTGAGGAAGAGGCTGTTCCGTTTGACTCGTCGTCGTCGTCGTCGTCGTCGTGATCGTTGTCGTCGTCGAGCGCGCCAGCCACAGCGAAACTGAGCAACGTTGTAGTGGAGTCGAAGGGAAGCCCCTTCCCTTTGATCCCTTCCCCGCCAAGGGGGGCGGGGTCCCAGGGAAGTCCCGGGGAAGTCCCGGGTCAGATACGACTCCCCCCCCGGGCGGTTCGGGGGCCCAGAAAAGCCCCCAGGCGCGGCAAAAATGCCCCGAGATGCCCCCCAGACGGTCCTCGAGGGCCCCGAATCGCCGAAGTATCAGTCCAAGTCGCCAAAGTAGCCTCCAGACGGCTCAAAAGGTTTCCAAGACGTCCCAAGAGGCCTCCAAGAGGACTTCAAAGAGGGCACCAAGGAACAAAATCATCGAATTCCCTTAGCTTTTTGAAAGATTTCGGCATTCTCGCCTTGTCAGCTTCCCGACGCTACAAGACATGCCACGAGGCCACCAAGAGTGCCCCAAGATGGCCCAAGAGGGGTCCAAGAGAGCCCCAAAACGACCCAAGAGGGCCCCAAGAGACCGTCCAAGAGGCCTCCAAGACAATCGAAGAGGCTCCCAAGACGGTTGTAAGAGGGAGCCCAGACGGGGGACACGAACGGACATTTCGAGCCCTCGGCTTGAGAAGCTCTCAGGAGACCCCCAGAGGCCCCTAAGAAGCCCCCCAAGAAGCCCCAAGAGGCCCTCAAGAGACCCCCAGGAAGCCCCAAGAGGCCCCTACGAGGCTCCCAAGCGGCCCCCAAGAGCTTCCCAAGAGGCCCCCAAACTACCCCTGGGAGGCCCCCGAGAGCTTCGTCGTTTTGGTCGTGGTTGTCGCCGCCATGCAGGGTCGGCGGCACCGGCCGTAAGGCCTTCACAATAGGTATGTATGTACCCCTTTTCCACATATGTACATACATATAGGTACACACATGTACGTGTAACACTCCCTGTTTCTCTCTCTCTCTCTCTCTCTCTTTCCCTCTCTTGGACTCGCATCACGAATCACTGGATCATCCACCTTCTCCTCCTCCTCCTCCGATGCCTCCCTCGGCGTCGTTGTCTTCATTCGCGTCCCTCTTCCTCAGAAGAACTCTTCATCGTCACGCTACCAGACGGGTCAGTAGGGTTGGCATGGCGGTTCGCCTGCGAGTCCCTCACAGGTGGTCCTCGAGCACAAAACTCCAATCACTGAAGTCCCGTACAATGTCTGACCAACCTTCCAACAGCTACGCGGATGAAGGGCGTTTTCAAAATCGCGTTATGGGCTATAGCTGTGGACCTTCACGCAACTTGTGAGCCGAAAGCTGAACCTCCAGCAGCCACACGGATAGAGGGCGGCCTGCTTCCAAGATCACACCCTCGCGAGACTCTTCTCAGCCTCTGATCTCTGACCAGGTGATCAGATGGTGGAAACCTCCAGCATTGACATGGATTGGGAGCGACCCCTTTTCAAAACTGAGCTCTCACCTGAGACATCGTCGCAGCTTGCGGCACCGAGATGTAGTTGCCATCGTCCGGTCACGAAGTAAGATGCAGGAGGGAGCAAGAGGAGGGTCTCTTTCTGCGGCATGGGAAACGCTGAGATTATACCCAATTGCCCTTCAGGCTGCGACCGGACGGCCGACGGGGGGGGGACCCAGAGAGCTCATCGAGGCCCTGCCCAGCCCCTGGGCGCCTCCCCAACATTGCGCACAGGGCACTGGAGATCCTCGCCATGGATGGGCCAAGACAGATCACGACGGCCTCCACGCTGGCACTCGTCTGGCCACGAAGACCCCGGAGGAGTGCCCCCCCCCCCCCCCAAAAAAAAAAAAAAAAAACTGCAAGATCCCTGAGGCCCCCCCACTTTAAATCTGAAGATGTGCCCCGCGATGGGCTTCCGAACCGAAGCATCAGAGAGGGTCCGCGAGGCCCCCAAGAGGCCCTCAGACGGCCCAGGCGGCCCCAAATGCATCCCCAATGTATGCATCCCCAGTGTGGCCACGGAGACCCTCAGCCGGCCTGCAAGATGACCCCAGGGCAGCTCAACCCTGGCCCAATGTCCCTACCCCTCCCTCCCTCCGCGGCTCCCGAGTCCTTCATCCCATCCATCCCCATGCCTCCCCCCCCTGCCTCCTCCCTCCCCGCTGTTCTTCTCTGTCCCCAAGACAGATCCGCGGAGGCCATTGGAGGCCCAGGCCAGGACCGAAGAGTAGGGGGAGGTGGAGGAGGAGGGGGAGGAGGACGAGGAGGGGGAGGAGGAGGAGGAGGAGGAGGAGGAGGAGGAGGAGAAGGAGGAGGACGACAACGACGAGGACGAGGACGAGGACGAGGAAGAGAGGAAGAAATCGCGGCGAAGGCTGCGATCCCTCGTGGCCGCTGGAGGCCTCGACCCCCCCCAGGGACCGGGTTTCTTCCTGACCCGCTCTCTTGACGATCCTTTGGCACAGTGAGGGCCCCCCCAGAAGCCGAAACCCACCACTATCGCTATGCTTCCCCCAACCCCCCTGCGTTGGATTCTCAAGTTTTGGACAGAGCTCTGTGGTCTCCGTTCCTCACTCCTTCATCCCCCCTGCTCTGCCCCCCTCCGACCCTGCCTCCTGCCTCGCCTCCCTGGGTGGCTGCGAGCTGCGCATTGACGCCGCCCTCCACCGGGGGTTACGAGCTGGGAACCTCTCGCCACGTTCGTGAGCTGCTGAGAGGTTCGGCGGAGTGGTGTCATGCGCAGACCCAAATGAGACAGCGCTGTCCCCCTGGGGGCTGCCAGCTGTGTAATTCTTCACCCTCGGTGGCCCTGGGAGGTCCAGTGGAGCGGTGTCTTGGGCAGAACCAGATTACACATCGCCGTCCCCTGGGGGCGGCCAACAGCGTCACTGTCGCCAATTTCCTGAGCTGCTGGGACGTCCAGCGGAGTGGTGTCTTACGCAGACCAAGATTCGACTTCGCCCTCCCTGGGTGCGGCGAACTGCGAAACCGTCACCAATTTCGTCCGCTCCTGGGAGGTCCAGCAGAACGACGTCTTACGCAGACCTCGATTAGACCTAGGTCTCCCCTGGGGACTGCCACTTTTGCAGACTCCTGGGAGGTCCAGCGGAGTGACGTCTTACGCATAGCCAGGTTAGACCTCACTATCCCTGGGGGCCGCGAACTACGCAGCTGTCGCCACTTTCTCGAGCTCATGGGAGCTCTTGAGCAGCGGCATCTGTCTACTCTCTCCTGCTTCGCCCTCCTTCCTCCTTCTTATCGACCTTCCGCCGCATTTCGCTCTCTACCCCCTTCCCTCTACTCCAGGCTCCCGCCTCTCTCCTCTCGAGTCCTACTCGCAGGGTTGTGTCTGTCAGCTTCTGTACTTTCGCCTGTCTCTACCTTCATGATTTCCCTTCCCTGTCTAATCCTCAGCTCCTACTATCTTCCTGTGCTCGTCCACGTCCCCGTCCCTCTTCATCCTTCTTCCTCGCTGTTCTTACATCATTCCGCCTCATTCCTTCTTTTGGTCAACGTTGTCGTTCTGTCATCCCTCTTCCATGCCACATCTGAAAGTACTGCCGCTCTCAAACTTCTCCCGTGAGTCGCGCAACCCGCGAGTCTCCCATCTGGCTTGCACAACAAGTCGCATTCATAGTCAGATTCTCATCCGTGACAGGTTGGCCCATTGTTGTGGTGACTTCTTGCAGATAGGTTGGATACGTTGCCAGGGTATGTTCGCGACGCGAGGGTTATCCCTCCCTGCCCCTGCCCCTGCCCATCTCGGAATGAACGACATCTTGCTTAGTGCGGTGGTTATTGGTGTGTGCCTGCACAGTGTCACGCTACCCGAACGGGCAGAATGACCATTTCGTAATCGGCATGGTGGCTGGCCAATTTTACAGGCGCTCCGCGGAGGGCACCCGCCCAGCTAACCACAAATCGGGACTACGAAACTCTAGCTCGAACTTTCGGGCTCACAGTGGAGGGGCAACGTCAGGGGGCGACCAGCTCAGGGGGAGGCGGGGAGCATCGCCCTGGAATCGACGATACACCGCCGACACATCGGGGATGGGCCGCCGACAGCGAAACCGCACGTTCCTGGGAGGGGGGGGGCTATCGGGCCCCCATCGGCGATGGATAAGCGACTGGGTGTCGACTCGCTCCCCCTCTGAGCCTATCCCCCCCCCTCTGAAGCTGCCCCCGAATACTTTGAGGTCTCAAGCTGCGTTTGCACACCAGCTCAACCACCAGTCGGGGGTTGCCAAGGGTGCCCCTGGCCCAAAGTGCCCCCAGCTTTCCGCTCAACCTTGGAGCCCCTGGGGCCCCTTGGGGGCCTCGTGAGGGGTGCTCTGGAAGCAGTGGGGCCCTCTTGGAAATCCTGGTGGCACCTTGGGCCAGGGGCACTTCGAGCAACATCCGAACCAACCCCCCAGCCACCCTTCCGGAAATCCGGACGTGCCCATCCCTCCCGCCGGCCTCGGCGGCTGCGTGCTCCAGTGGCCTCCTCCCGCCGCGCTGCTGGAGCTCGGGACGCCCATCATCGGGTCCATGCCTGAGTAGCTGGGCGCCGCTCCCACTCGAGGAGGAGGAGGAGGAGGAGGAGGAGGAGGAGGAGGAGGAGGAGAAGGAGGAAGTGGAGGATCACGGAGGACGGAGGCGGAGAAGGACGGAGAAGGGCGGAAGAGGAGGGGGAGGAGAGGGGAGGAGGAGGTCGGTTGGTTGGGTTTGCCTGGAGAAGGCGGAGGAGGAGGGAAGAGGAGGGAAGTGATGAGGGAGGAGGGAGGAGGGAGGAGGCAAGAGGAGTGGGGAGGCGGAGGGATCGACAAATGCTGCTGCGATGCTCTGGTACAGCTGGCGAGGCTAATACCAGGAGGTCTGGGACTTGGATGCGACGGCGGCGTCCTCAGTCAGCACAGGCCCCATCTCACGGCCGAACTGCACAAGGTTCGAACGAGGCAAGCCGAGACTGCTCGAAGACGTCTTCGGACTGCCCCAGGGCTCCACCCCAGCGCAGACATACAGAGGCTGAAATGGAGCGCGGCCGAAAGAGCCGCATGGAGCCACGGCTTGAAGCACCTGACCAGAACCATCCAGCATGACCTCTTCGAGGGACGTTCCAGGAGCAGCAAAATCACGGGCACTGTGGGGGAGGTCCACCCTCAGCTCAGGGCGTCCGGGGTGTTACCCTTTCATCACTTTGTTGACACTGGTCCGACCATGTCTGCTGAGCTGTCTATCACAAAGACCCACCAGACCACTCTCAGAAAACGACCCCTGGTGCAAGCAAGCACCACACGAAAGTGCGAATGACAAAGCGGCATTGTCTGAGCACAGACATGCGATGGTGTCTGTAGCCCTTGCCGTCCGCCACATCCAAATCATGCTGTCCAGACCCAAGGCAAGGACCAGCGAACAGCCTGGAGACGGCCCTGGATCCCACCCCACAAAACGAACACCTCCAACTGCTGCTATGCCAGTGCCAATCGTGGCCAACTTCTGCGAACTGGGCTACAACAACAGACCTGGCCTCGCCGGCCAGCTCGACTCCGTCGAGGCTGAGGCGAGGCCCAAGCGGCAGGAGCTTTGCAGCGAGGCGTGCAGCGGCACGCGACACTTCAACTTGGGAAGATAAAGCAACATGCTCTGCCTGCGCTGCGCGAGAGTGTGAAAGAACACCCTGCTGCACAGCCAGATCAGCAAGCCCGTTGCCACTCCGCGTGAAAACCTCCGACGCCTCTAACCCCTCATCACCAGGATCAAGGTGTGCACGCATATTGGTTTGCCGTCTCCTTGCTGCGTGTCATTGCCTACGACTGTCAGAACAAGCTCACTCGATAACCTGAGCCTACCGGTACAATCGACTCTTTATTTCGAACATGTATATATATATATATGTATACATACATACATACATACATACATACATGCAGACAGACATACATACATGCATGCATACATACATACATACATACATAAATACATGCATGCATGCATGCATGCATGCATGCATGCATGCATACATACATACATACATACATACATACATACATACATGCATACATACATACATGCATACATGCATACATACATTCATACATTCATACATTCATACATTCATTCATACATTCATACATATACATACATACATACATACATACATACATACATATAATACATACATACATACATACATACATACATACATACATGCATGCATGCATACATACATACATACATACATACATGCATGCATGCATGCATACATACATACATACATACATGCATGCATGCATGCATGCATGCATACATACATACATACATAATACATACATACATGCATACATACATACATACATACATGCATACATACATACATATACATTCATACATCATATACATTCATACATACACATACATACACATACATCATCATGCACATACATACATACATACATACATACATGCATGCATGCATGCATGCATACATACATACATACATACATGCATGCATGCATGCATGCATGCATGCATACATACATACATACATACATACATACATGCATACATACATACATACATACATGCATACATACAGTCATACATTCATACATTCATACATTCATACATTCATACATTCATACATTCATACATTCATACATTCATACATACATACATACATACATACATACATACATACATCAATTCAGACATTCATACATACATACATACATACATACATACATACATACATACATACATACATACATACATCAATTCAGACATTCATACATACATACATACATACATACATACATACATACATACATACATACATGCATGCATGCATGCATGCATGCATGCATGCATACATACATACATACATACATACATACATACATGTGTGCACACGGACGTATATCCGCAACCGTATCTCTGAGGCAAGAGCTGGAGTGTCCTCAGGTCCTTTCTGCCTAATCCTTGACGCCTCAGCCCTCAACCCCGAGGATTCTGTAAGGGCCCCGGACCCAAAATTGCCAAATCTTCCGGGGCTTGCAGCGTGCCCCCATGGGGCTCCCGCGCGGCCCCAGGGGCCCAGGGCGCGTTCCAGCATGACATGCTCGGGGCCAAGGGAACCCCAAGAGGGGCCGAGAAGGGCCCCCAGAGGCGCCCAAGACGGTCTAAGACGCCGAATCGTCGAATCATCTGTCCAAAACACACAAAATGGCCTCCAATCGGCCGAAAAGGCGCTGAAGAAGCCCCAACCAAGAAGCCTCTAAGCGCCTTCCCAAGAAGGCCCCGAGAAGCAAAAATCATTGATTTTCAGTCGGATGTTCTATGTGTGTAAGGCTCTCGCTTTTAGGATCTTTCGGCGCTATAGGACGTCTCAGGAGGTCTCAAAGATCCCCCCAAGACGGCCCAAGGAAGCTCTCAAGCGGGGCCCAAGACGGCCCGAGATGGCCCCAGGACTGCCCAAGAGGCCCCCAAGACGGACCGCAAAGGGACCCAAAACGGCCCAAGAGGCCCCCAAGACGCCCACAAGACGACCCTGAAGCGCCCCAAGAGGGCCCAAAGACGCCCCAAAGAGTCTCCCAAGACGGCCTCCGATGGCGTCAGACGGGCCAGGAACACAGAAAGACAGCCAAAGAGGCCCCCAAGAAGCCCCAAAGGCCCCCAAGAGGCCCAAAGAGGCCCCCAAGAGGCCTCCAAGAGGCCCCCAGGAAGCTCCCGGGAGGCCCCAAGAATGACCCAAGAAGCTCCCAAGAGGTCTCCTCATCCTTCTCATCCTCCTCCTTTTCCTCCCTCTCCTCATCCTCCTCTTCCTCCCCCACGTTTTCCCCGAAGGGCTTCCACAACGGCTGGGGGAACGCATGGTCCGATAGCGTGGTCAAACTTTGCCCAACGTTTGGCCACATAGGCTTATCCTAAAAGGCAGGGGGCGGCGGTGATTTGCCGTAGGCGTCTTCGACCTATATAGATGTAAATTGATACTACATTTTTGTATAGATGGAGACAGAGAGAGAGAGAGAGAGAGAGAGAGCGAGAGACCGAGCGTACTTAGCGCAACGAGTCTGAGAGAGGGAGAGGCTCGTTGACTTCTGTGCGATCTGTGCTGTTCAAGGCCCAAACCTCCGCCGACCATGGTCATCTGGGTCATCGCGGGGTTCATAGGGTCCACCTCAGCGAGGGAGCGCACGCGAGACTACCCCTCCTCATTCCTTCATTCCTTCTCTCTCAGCCTCAACCCTAGTCATCCGTCTCCTCCTCATCATATTCCTACGTACGTATACTCCGCATACTCAGCCTCCGAGTACTCCTCCTCCTCCTCCTCCTCCTCCTCCTCATCCTCCTCCTCCACGTATTCCTCCTCCGCGTATCCCTCCCCCTCCTCTCAGCAGTGCGGTCTTCTCTCTACACTCCACGGCGCGGTCTTCACTTCACTCTCCACGGCGCAAAATGCTTCACGCCTGCTGCTTCAACGATACACTGTGCCTCCTGTCTCACAGCCAGCGGCGCGTCTGTCAGCACATTCAGCGGCGCACTTGGCGACGCACTTAGCAGCGTCTATGGCTGCGCATCCGACGGCGCACTCGCCAGCACCCCCCCCGGGGCTGCGCACGGCGCCTTCTCCATCGAAATCCAGCATCGCGTGAACCACGGCGAATGACGCTACAAGAAACTGCAGCCCGGCATGCGATCCGATCCCATACTTCCTCTGAAGGTGCCAACGCCACTGCGCCGTCGGGAAATGCGACCTGGGAGACTCCTGATGGGCTTGAGCCCTACGTAACTCGCAGAGACCAGAGCGCCAAGTCGATGAGCAGCGTGGCTACATCGAAGCCGCCCCTCGTGCATCTGGCGCCCCAGACCCACAGAAAGCACCTGATGCCGCTGCCTCCCTAAGCTCTCTCCAACGCAGCTGGTGCATCTGCAATGCCTGCGCCCGAGCACGCGGTGGCCTCGTTGGCCGCGCCGGCCCATGATACCAGTGCCTGCCGCGATTTCGCAAGGACCCCTCGCGGCCCGGAGGCCAGGAGATGATCCCAGGACCCGTCATTCGGCGGTGGACAAACCTCCATTTAGTAAACCTCCCCTTCGTGACAACGGCCTGGGACTGAAACTGACAGACCTGGACCCGCAAAAATGACGGCCGCGACGCCCTCTCGCGAACCGAAAACAGCCAATTCCTTAATCGACGTGTCAGGGTAGAAGGTCTGTCAACCTCCGAGTCATCTAGATGAGAACTCAGCATGAACATAAACTGTCGGAGCTCCGCGCGGATTTCCTGAATCGGCGCTTGAGCCTCTCTCTGGCGCGCGGAGAGCGCCGGGGGCCCGGCACCGGTGCAAAAAGATCCTCACGGACCTTCGAAGGTCTGTGTTTATGCTTCGTCTGTCTTCCTTCTGTCATCGCGGCTCGAGCAGCACAGTCGGCCCCACGGGGGCCCTGCGAATACGGCCGACTACTCCGGGCGAAAGCCGACGAGGCACATCGGCGCCACCCTGGGGCCACCGAGCCGGGAGGCACCGACGCGCCCGACGCACCGTGCGCCATCGGTCGGCAACGAAGTCCCCAAGGCCGTTTCGGCACCAGCTGCTGCCGCAGAGGCCCGAGAGCTTGCAATCGCGACGGAGACCAGCGGCCTCGTGCCGCCACCCAGAGGTCACACGGCCTGGCCGCACCTGAGCCGCGGGCCCCGCACGAGGCATCAAAGCGTCCGAGCCCTCGGTGAGCCGCAGACGAGGTATGGCCGTCGTGCAGAACGCACGGCGAGGTCGCGCCCCCCCCCCCGTGACCGCTCTCGCGGCGGAGGGGGAGCAGCGCGGGGCTCCACAGTCATCGTGCTACCAGAAGGAACGATGATGAATAGGGAACGAAGAAGCCTTTCTGACCACGTCGAACCTCGGCCACGAAAACGGCTTGGAGCTCTTGCGCAACGTCTCGCAGCGGCGGCGGCCTCGGCGACACGCCGTGCCTTGCAAGCGGATGGCGGGTCGCTCCGCTCCGCGTGGCGGGAGGCCGGGAGAAAGTACAGCTCGGAACGCTGGCGCTCGGAAACGGGCACGTGGACAGCGAGTCGCGCCGACAGCGTGGTGGGCCAGAACCGGCGGAGCCGACACGCCAAGCCAAAGCTCCCGGCCGTAGGCTCCACGCCCGGCGGAGCCGACACGCCGAGCCAGAGCTCCCGACCGCAGGCTCCACGTCCTAGCTGCGGCACGGAAAAACCATGGGGCGACGAGATGTGTCCGCCACCGTGCCCCCATGGCACGCCGAGGCGCGGGAGAATGCCAAGGTCTGCCTGGTAGAGTTCTTTTTTTAAGCTCTAAGAAGGGACCCCCTCCGCCTCTACCCGCGGACTGCTGCGCTCCTCCTCCCCCACTCGCCGAGGGCACCTTTCCCCTCGTGCCCGACTCGAGCATGGTGCATTACTGGCATGGCAGCCGATGCACGATTCTTCATTCCACGCGTGCCCGCTCGAGGACAGTGCATTTCCAGCATGGCACCTGATGCCTGAACCATCACGAGATGCACGCCCGCTCAAGAGCTGTGCACTTCCCACATGGCAGCCAACTCCTAGACCACTCCTCCCACGCGCACCCGCTCGAGGATCGTGTTCTTTCCGCGTCCCCGGCCGCTGGTCCCAAGCGCTCCGGGGCCTACCAAGTAACGATCCCTCGTCAAAAACGACAGATGTGCGTCCCGAGCGTCAAAGACGGCCCGTGCAGGCAATCAAGGACACCAAGATGGCCCAAGATACTGAGAAGACGGCCAAAGATGGCCCCAAGGCGGCCGAGTATTGATTCAAGACGGCCCAAGAGGCATCCAAGAGGGCCCAAACTGGCCACAAGAGGACCTCCAACGAGGTCCAAAGAAACCGAAACCATTGATTCCCTCTGGTCCTCTGAACGATTTTCGCATTCTCCCCTTCTCGGGCAACCGTCAGCTCAAGTCGCCCAAGGAGGACTCCACGATGGCCAAAGCGGCATGCAAGGCGGCCTCAAAAAAGGCCCAGGAGGACCTCCTATGGGACCCGAGACGGCCTCAGAAGGCCCTTCGACGGCCCACGACGATGCCAAGACGGCCCCACGACGGCCCCCAGACACCCACCATACGGCCAAGAGGGCCATAAGACGGCCCAAGAGAGGCCCGAGCCCGAGCAAGAGAGCCCCAAGACGGCCCAAGAGGGCCACAAGGAACCCCCAAGACTGTCTCACTGGAGGCCAAGACAGCCCCAAGACGGCCCAAACAAGTTTCCTCCTCCTCCTCCTCATCCTCCTCTTCCTCTTCCTTTTTCATCATCATCACCACCACCATCATCATCGTCGTCGTCATCATCATCGGTATCAGCATCATCGCCATCATAATAATCATCATCATCATCATCATCATCATCATCATCATCATCATCATCATCATCATCATCATCAGCAGCAGCAGCAGCAGCAGCCTCATCACGATCACCACCACCATCCGCATTAACATCATCATTAGAATCATCAGCATCATCATCATCAACAACAACAACATCACCATCATCAGAATCATCATCATCATCTTCATCATAAGGCCGCCGCGCGCTCAAGCCTTCGGTGACACAGCGGCCTCCTCAGAAGAGCCCTCCATTGTTCGCCAAGAGGCAGAGAGCACACTGCGATGGCAGCTCGCACGGATGCCAGCTCAGGAGGTGCGCCTCGTGCGGCATGCTGACGCGTTGCATGCTGAGGCCGGTTGAGGAGGTCTCCCACAAGCGGGAGCAGCACGACAAGAACAAGCCGCTGCTTACGCGCCACACATCCAACGAGCACACCGAGCAGCAGCTCAAGCAGCTCGACGGCGCCGAGAAGAGAAAGCTGGTGGCGGTAAAGGCGGAGTACGAGCTGCTTACGAAGTTCTTGGCAGTGGTGCGGCGCAACCAAGACGAGAAGGTGTACGACAACCACAAGATCGAAACCAAGGGTCAAGTTGCCATCGTCATAGGGGAACTACCACCTCGCCTGCGCAACTTACCGAGCGAAGTCCAAAGACGAGTATCACTTCCGGTGCCACCGCTGCGTCGATGGCAAGGTGCGCATCTTCTTGCATGCTGTCAAAGGGAGCTACTACTTCACTTGTGCCGCCAACGGAGAGCAGTCCGACATCGTGTACATCGTTGAGTACCACGGCTGCGACGACGGCAACGTGCGCATCTTCTTGCACTTTCGTTCCGCGCAGTTCGTGCTCACGCAGAAGGAGTCCGAGAGGTCACAGCAGGAGAACCTGAAGGCGGAGCAGGGGCCGCGCACGAAGCTCATGGACGAGGCGCGGGGGGACACACTCAAGGATGACGTTGCCAACATCGCTGGAGCGGAGCAGTACCACGAGAGGCACTACGACGAGCCCTTCGCCGACATCATGCGTTACGGAGTGCACAGTACCACAGGAGGCACTACGACGAGCCCTTCGCCGAGACTATGCGCTACAGAGTGGAACAGTACCACGGGAGGCACTACGACAAGCCCTACGTCGACATCATGCGCTACGGAGTGGAGTGTCCCGCAGGAGGCACGACATCATGCGCTACGGAGCGGAGCAGTACCACAGGAGGCACTACGACGAAGGAGCGTGCCGAAGGGCGCGCGCCGCCAGTCTCAGCAGCTTCTGTTTTCGCTTCTAGGCCAGACCCCCCAGCAGCAGCCAGTCTCAGAAGAATCAGAGCTCGAGCATGCCGCAGGGCGTGCGCCGCCAGTCCTAGAAGACTCAGAGCTGGAGCATGCCACAGGACGTGCGCCGCCAGTCTCAGCAGCTTCTGTCTTCTTGTCTGGGCTAGCCGACTCGAGGGTGGCAGGGCGTGCGTTGCCAGTCTCAGCAGACTCAGAGCAGGAGCATACCGCAGGGCGTGCGCCGCCAGTCCTGGAAGACTCAGAGCTGGAGCACGCCGTAGGGCGTGCGCCGCCAGTCTCAGCTTTGTTCTGTCTTCCTGCCTGGGCCAGCAGACTCGGGGTCGGCAAGGCTGGCACAGGCAGACTCTGCAGCTTCACTCCTTGCGACTGGACCAGTCGGCCCAGCAGCTGCCGACTCGGGGTCAGCCCATCTTGAAGGGCCCGAGGGCCCACACGATCAGCTCTCGAATCCGAGAGCTAGCCAGATGCAAGCATGATTCCCCACTGAACGAATTCGAGATGATTGGCCTCACGACTGGGTTTGCACGGCCAGCCTGAGCCACGGTCTCTTCTCTAACCTCCGATCCTTCCAACGCTCAGCATGCAACGCAGGCAACGCCAGCTGTCTACGGTTTTCCCTGGGCCGCGCGTACATGTGTGCAGCAATGTGCAGCACCCCGTGAAGCACGGCTCCTAGCGAGCTCTGTAGGGAGCAATCGAGCTCTCTGCGACGGATCAGTGGTATCTCTAAAACCTGTTGCTCAACAGTTTGGTCCTGATGTCGGGGGAAAAAAACTTCATCATCATCTTGATCGCCCTCCTCACAACCGCCATCGTCACCATCAGCATCATCATCAGCATCATCACCATCAGTATCACCATCACCAACACCGTCACAATCAGTATCATCGTCGTCGACAACAACATCAGAAGCAGCCGCACAATACATCACCATCATCAGCAGCATCAGCATCAGCAGCAGCATCCTCAGCATTGTCTGCATCACCATCGTCGGCTGCAGCACCATCATCATCACAATCACCAGAAACAGCACCATCATCATAATCAGCATCACCATCGTCATCATCATCATCATGATCATCGTCATCATCATCACTATCGTAAACAACATCACCAACAATAACCTCAATAGCACCATCCGCATCAACTGCATCACCATCACCGTCATCAGCAGCAGCATCACCATCTTCAGCACCATCATCTTAATTATCATAACCAGTACCGTCATCACCACCAGCATCACCATCATCATCAGCAGCAGCAGCCACGCCATCAGCAGCAGCGTCCTCATCCTCGACATCGTCGTCATACTCAACGCAATCGTCATCGTCATCATCGATGTCAACGTCGTCATCATCATCGTCATTATCATTACCGTCATCAAGATCATAAGAATCATCATCGTCCTCATCGTCATCTGCTTCTTTTTGTCATCACCGCTGGCATCATCACCCATCAACACCATCACCATAGCCATCACCACGATCATGATCAGCATTAACATCGAAATCGGTATCATCAGAATCATCCTCATCCTCGACATCACATCATGACAGGTATTACCAGTAATATCATCATCGGCATCATCAGCAGCAGAATTAACATCATCAACATCCTCATCACCATCATCATCATCATTTTGTAGGCATGTAGGTTTCACGTCGGCCTCGCCCGCTGGCGCACGCATGGCTCCCGAGCGGTGGCGCGCAGCGCTGGGTCCTGAAGAGGACGCGCGCCATCGCCCCCTGGCATGCTGCGGCAGTGCCGAAACGCGGAGCACCATCGACAGCAGCAGCAACATCTTTCAGCGGCGAAGCCTAGTCAGGCGGAGTCGACGGACTGTGGCATATACGCAGTGACGCAACAACCCATATCATCGCTATTCCCCGTTATTCCAATACTTTTGGGTCCACGGGAACGGCGGAGGTCAGGCCCAGCAGCTATTCGTGGTCCTATTACTATTATCATTGTTATTATGATTATTTTCTTGGTACGATTCTTCTTGACATCTTCATTGCTATCATTCCTAATATTATTATGATTAGACATATTATTGTTATTATTCTTCTTTATCTTGTATTCGCCCTCTTCGTAATATTACGATTCTTCCTTCTACGTCTTCCACGGATGCGCCGATGGCGGGTGCGGACGGACGGGCCACCGAGTGTTTACGCCATCCAGAATCCAGGCTCTTCGTCGGGGAGTTATGCTCCCCGCCGCCAGCCCATGGCCCATGGCTCGGAAGGCTGCGGGTTGCGTCCAAGCCTGTTCTGCGAAGCGCGTTCGTGGTTCGAATCGCCGTGTATCCTTCTCTGTTCCCTACATTATGTAGGCGCGGTCGGTGGCTATTGGGTGGAGAAGCCACCACGCAGGCACGTTGTGGTCGGTCATTTCTGCATGCGTGTTGCCACCACCAGCTTCCAGTGCTTCTGCTACGTTGGGCTCTACGGCACATTCGGGCGCATCCTCGGCGTCGCGGCGCTCGCACTCTGGGAGGCCTTTTTCGCGAGGGTGTTCGTGGAGGTCTTCAGCGCGCCGGTGTTCGCAAAGGCGTTCCTCGCGTGGGAGCTGGCGGTAGTTTTCCTCCTGCGGGTGCTCACGAGGATATTCTTCTTCGCGCGAGCAATCGTTGAGGCCTTTTTGACGGGGATGATCGCGGAGGTCTTCATCGGAGAGGTGCTCGCGGGCTTCTCCACGCGGGCGCCAGTGGGGGCCTTCTTCGTGGAAGTGCTCGCGGATGTATTCTTCGCGCGGGCGCCCACGGAGGTCTTCATCGCGCTGGCACTCGTGGAGTCGACGCCGCCGCGACGCCCGGCGCGCGGTTACGACACTGTTCCCGCCGCGCCGCCGCCGTTACGACACGTTCTTCGCGTGGGCGCTGGCGGAAGTCTTCCTTGCGCGGGTGCTCGCGAGGGTCTTCTTCGCGCGGGCATTCGTTGAGAAATTCTTCAAAGGGATGCTCGCGGAGGTCTTCGTCGGGAGGGCGTTCGTGGGCCTCTTCTCGTGGGTGCCAGTGGCGCTGTATTCGTGGGAGTGTTCGTGAAAGTATTCTTCGCGCGGGTGCACGTGGAGGTCTTCATCGCGCTGGCGTTCGCGGAAGTCTTCTTCGCGCGGGCGCTGGCGAAAGTCTTCCTCGCGCGGGTGCTCGCGGGGGTCTTCGCCGCGCAGGCAATCGTTCGAGGCCCTCTTCATGGGTGTGCTCGCGGAGGTCTTCGTCGGGCGGGTGCTTTTGGGCCTCTCCAAGCGGGCGCCGGCGGGGGCGTTCTTCGTGGGTGTTCACGATGGTGTTCTTCATAGCGCTGGAGGTCGTGGAGGGTTTCTTCGCGCGGGTGCTGGCGGTGTCTTCCTCGTGCGGGTGCTCGTGGAGGCTTTCTTTGAGGGGGTTACTCGCGGAGGTTAGCTCCGCGCGATGGTGTTCGTGGAGGTCTTGTTCACGCAAGTGTGGGGGCCTTCTTCGCGTAGGCGGTCGATGTGGTCGTCTTCGCGCATGCGCGCGTGGTGGCCTTTTTCATGCGGTTGCTCGTAGAGGCATTATTCGCGGGGATGCTCGTGGAGGCCTTCTTCAAGCGGGGCCCCCTGGAGGCTTTCTTCTTCGAGAGGCTGCTCGCGGAGGTCTTCCAGCTCGTCGACGCGCGAGTGGGTCTGAGCGTCCCTCCTTTGAGGTGGGCTCATCATCTTCTAGGACGTTCACGTCGGCCCCGCCCGCTGGTGTACGCATGGCTCCAGAGCGGTGATGCGCAGTGCGGGGTCCTGAAGAGGACGCGTGCCATCGCTCCCTGGCATGCTGCGGCAGTGCCGAAACGTGGAGCACCATCGCCAGCAGCAGCAACATCTTTCAGCGGCGAAGCCTTGTCAGGCGGAGTCGACGGACTGTGGCATATACGCAGTGACGCAACAAACCAGATCATCATCATCGTCATCAGCATCATCATCATCATCATCATCATCATCATCATCATCATCATCATCATCATCATCATCATCATCATGATCATCACCATCATCATCAGCAGCATCAACATCACCATCATCATCACCACCATCATCATCGTCATCATCACCATCATCAGCAGCATCAGCATCAGCATCAGCAGCATCAGCATCAGCATCAGCATCAGCATCAGCATCATCATCACCATCACCACCATAATCGTGAAACCCCCAGCATCCTCATAATCTTCATCATTCTCACCACGGCTCTCCCAAGCCTGGAGACACGAGGTGTCACATGTGACGACCTCCCGTGCCCCCTCGAACAGTCGCCACCCAGAAAACTAGGCTGGCACGGTGGCGGGACTTGACGCAGCCAGCTGCATACAAATCCACTGCTCCCTGGCCAGGCCCATCCTGCACCCAGCAGCAGCGGTGTAGACGCTACGCCCTCCCGTCTTGGCCAGGACGGTGTACACAGAGCTCCTGGGCCCAGGAGGGCCTGGCCACGGGGCAGTGGCCGCCCCGCACATGGTCCTTGTGTCAGCGTCTCGCACCCTTCGAGTAGGAGATCAACTACAGAATTGGCCCTACCCCACAATTGATCGCTTGTCGTCGCATCTGAGAAGAGTACGTGTAAGGTTATGAGATATCTACGAGCATTCTACTTCCTCTCCGCAGATCCTATTCTGCTTCCTTACCGAAGATCCGACGAACCAACAAAAACCTGGGGCGACTAGATTCTGGAGTCGATCTCTGACTCGAACCCTGCCGGGGGCCGTCGAAGCCGCGCCGGGCCCCGGCGGCCGCCGGCGCCCGCAGGGGCGCCTCGGGGAGGCGCCACGAGGCCGCAGGCCGCCGTGGGGCCCCGGGGGCCTTCGCCGGGAGCACCTGGCCGCCGCGGGCCGCGGGAGCGCCGCCTCGCCCGGCAGTCCACGAGAAGCCTGGGGCTATGGACCTGCAGCGGGGCCCGGAGGACAGGAGAGCAGCCTTCGGGAACACGAGGCCCTCCGCCAGCCAGAGCACACAGAGCATCCCAGGGTACCCTCCCCGAGATGCACAAGAGCATCCAGCAAGCACGGAGAGCATGAGGGCACTCTCCCCGAACCGACATCGACCTCACACCTCGGCCGCCGGCCCGACTGTATGGGCGGGCCTCTCTGTGTCTGGGCGGACCCCTGGCCTTCCCAGACATCTCACGATTTGGTTCCTTCCGTCCGCGGCAAGTCCCGGGCCACTCCCTGGGGGCAGTGATGATGATGATGATGATGATGATGATGATGATGATGATGATAATGATGATGATGATAATGATGATGATAATGATAATGATAAAAATGATAATAATAATAATGATAATGATGATGATGCTAATGATGATGATGATGATAATGATGATGATGATGATGATGATGATGATGATGATGATGATGATGATGATGATGATGATGATGACGATGACAATGACAATGACAATGACAATGACCATGACCATGACAATGACAATGACAATGACAATGACAATGACAATGACAATGACAATGACAATGACAATGACAATGACAATGACAATGACAATGACAATGGCAATGACAATGACAATGATGATGCTACTGATGATGACAATGATGATGATAACGATGACGATGATGATGATGATGGATGATGATGATGACGATGATGATGATGATGATGATGATGATGACGATGATGATGCTGATGATGATGATGATGATGATGATGATGATGATGATGATGATGATTCTGCTGATGCTGATGCTGATGCTGATGCTGATGCTGATGCTGATGCTGATGCTGATGCTGATGCTGATGCTGATGCTGATGCTGATGCTGATGCTGATGCTGATGCTGATGCTGATGCTGATGCTGATGCTGATGCTGATGCTGCTGATGATGGTGATGATGATGATGCCTCCAGGATCTCGTCCAGGATCCATGCCTGATGGCCCCGGGCCCCAGGCAACGGCCCGCAGAGGCCAAGATCGCGGGAAACACGTGCCGGGACCGTCGAAGATTCCGGGCCAGGTGGCCTCTGGCTTGGGCGGGCCCTCTGGCAGCGTCTGCGTCCGCAGAGGCAGGCCGCTGGCCTCGCAGCTCCAGGCAGGGCCCTCCCTCGCTCGCGAGCGCCGCGAGCGCGTGAGGCCGCGCCCAGAGCCTCGAGGGTGGCCAGCGCCCCGCGTGTCCTCCGTGCCCATTCTGGGGTGAAGCTCGCCACCGCCCAGCGGAAGATCCTGCATCCCCTCCTCCGCTTCCTCCGCCTTCCTCCTCCTCCTCCTTCCTCCTCCTCCTCATCATCATCATCATCATCATCATCATCATCATCATCATCATCATCATCATCATCATCATCATCATCATCATCATCATCGTCGTCATCATCATCATCATCATCATCATCATCATCATCATCATCATCATCACCGTCCTCACTCTTACGTTACGCCGACGTTGATCGAAGCGATCGGCGAGTCTGAACGCTCCTTCTGCAAGAATGACAGCACACGCGTGAATACAAAATGATCATACAAGCAGTGCGCGCACGACAGGAACAGGGAAGGGCGAAAGTGGAGAAGCCAGCAAGGTGCAAGCCCTTCTCCTCCTCCTCCTCCTCCTCCTCCTCCTCCTCCTCCTGACTGCCACCTCCCCGTTCGTCCGCCAATGCTCTGTGCGGTGACCGCTTTCTCCCGCCGCCCATTTCCGACCTCACTTGTGCCGCCCGTCACCCCACCCCTCCTCTTCCTCCTCTTCTAAGCATCGTTTACCCGATCTCTATCCCTGCTGGTGGCACAACTGGCCGATTCACTCACCCAGGTGGGGATCTATACCTGGTCCTTCGGATTTCGCGGGGCCTCTCCCCACCTAGGTGGATGGGCCGGTGGGGCTGAGATACCGTGGCCCAGTGAGGATGGGGACAGGTCAGACGATGCTGGTAATCGCACTTCCCCACCACCCTGCCATGAAGAAAGAAAGGGCGGCCATGCGGGAAACGGATCCTGGACACTGGGGCTTTCACCAGGACCAGCTTTTCATCGCATCGCATCGCATCGCCAGCGGCACGAGAGCTGCCTCAACTATCACGTGGCGCCTTCACACCTCGTGGCAAGCATCCAGGTGCCTGTTGCTGAAAGCTGTGACCGAAAAAAATACACCTGCTGCACAGGTTTTGACGGCCCTGGGGCCTGGGCAGGGCCTTGGAAGCCAGGGAGCGGCGGAAAAAAACCTCCAGGACCCATTTCCCCCAGAATCCGCTTCCTTCATGGCGAACAGTTCCGTCATGGCGAACAGTCCCTCGTCCCGCCCCCTCGTCCGCGTCCTTCATGGCGAACAGTCCCTCGTCCCGCCCCTCGCTTCCTTCATGGCCGGCACGCCCCCTCTTTTGCTGAATTCGCACGGCCCCTCGAACAGGCCGTGCTCTCGGAGAACTCGGAGCCGATTCAGACCAGCCTCGTCGGGAGCCGCGACGCGGTGCTGCCACCCCCCTGCGCCCCTTGGCGGCGAGCAGAAGGTGGATGCGGCAGGTTCGCGTCGTGACGGCATCGGCGCTGGCTTCTCAGGTCGCCCAACTTCGCGCCCCCAATCCCCCCTCCCCTCCCCTTCCCCTCCTCCTCCGCGGCATGATTTTCGGCATGACATGTCTGGCTGCTCTAGAGCGCTGCGGCCGCACACAGCAACCGATGTGCCGTCTAGGCACGGTTCTGACAACCTACCAGACCACCCCAACCCAACCCGAAGACCCAGATTTCGGGTTGGGGGGGGGGGCAAGGGTTCCACATGTGTTTTTAATGTTCCCGGACGCCCCCCCCAACCTGGGAATGAAGGGCAAATTGGGGCCTTCGGGTAGGGTTGGGATGGTTTGGTTGGTGGTGAGGTTCTGACCTGACCTGACCAACTTCGCGCACTGCACACGCAATGCGCGACGCGCGACTCTCTTCACGCCGACGCGCCGCCGCTCCCCTCCCCTTCCCCTCTTCCTCCGCGGTATGATCTTCAGCATGTCTTGCCTCGCTGCTCTAGAGCGCTGCGGCCGCACACTGCAACCGATGTGCCGTCTAGGCTTAGGTCGGACATGTCCTCCTACAGACGGATCTGGAAGGAAACATGAGAAATACACGAAGAAATGTCTAAAAAGCGAGAACGAGAATGCACAAGTGGTCCCGAGAATATGTGTTGACTGTTTTTGAACATTCCTCCCGTAGAGGGACGTGCCCGACTTGAGTCCAGGCACGGTTCTGACCTGACCTGACCAACTCCGCGCACTGCACACGCAGTGCGCGAAGGCGCGACTCTCGTCGCACCGACGCGCCGCCCCCCCGCTGCAGACCACGACGCGTGCAGCGCGACCACGTCTTCGCGCCCGCGCGGGGGGCCTGGGCCTCTGGCACCGCGGGAGCCGCTCAACGTCGCGCGATCTGGGCAGGAGAGCCCAGAATCGAATCGACAGGTCGGATCGGCGATCGAAACGAAACGGATCGGCGGACCGCGGCATCCGAGTCGGGAGGAGCCGAAGCGGCTGGAATCGGCAGGCCAGCATGCCTCCCAATGAGAAGTCGGAAGCCGACGCGGAATCCGAAGCCGAATCGGATCGGAATCGGAAGCCGCCAAGATCGAGTCGAATCGAGTCGGAGGAATCGGCATGAGCCCTGCAGTCTTGGGCTTCCCGACGGCGCGGATCTCCTTCGAGGCCGGCCGACTCCGTGCCGCGGGGTCGGCATATGCGTGCTGGAGAGCGCCCCCGCGCGCCGGGGCCGCCGCCGCCTCTCGGCACGGCGCGGCGACCCGCCGCAAGAGTCAGCATGGGGGGGGGGGCACCCCTTCTGCAGAGGGAGGCCGTCCGCCTCCCTCGGAAGAGAACAGCGCAACGCACAGACGTGGGCGCATAAACGTGTGGTTTGGTGGCACGCGTAAACATAAGCGTAAGCGTTAGCGTCCTCCTCCTCCTCCTCGTCCTCCTCCTCCTCCTCCTCCTCCTCCTCCTCCTCCTCCTCCTCCTCCTCCTCCTCCTCCTCCTCCTCCTCCTCCTCCTCCTCTCAACCTAAGCGGTGCAAACGTAGACATAAGCGGTACAGACGTCAACGTAAACGCAAACGTGCAGATGTCTTCGATCGGCGCTGGACACCCCCGTCTCTGGCGCGCGAAGCGCGCCAGAGGCGGCGAGGCGCTGTCGGGGAAGGGAGTCCAGCTGGTTGATCCTCGACTCTTAGAATCGGGGATGGACAGAACCCCCCTGAGTGAAACGTGTTTTAGTGAAAACAGCCTGGGGCCCAGACCTGGCGGGCGCAAGCCTGGAACATGACGGCCGCGGCGCCCTCTCGAGAACCGAAAACGGATAATTCAATCGACGGGTCAGGGTGGGGGTTCTGTCCACCCCCGATGGAAGCTGTGCCGGGGTGGGGACCAAGGAGCCGAACCCACACAGATCTAGGAAGGCCGTCTGCATTCCCCAGGCCTCCGGCGCCGTGATCTTCTCGACACGAGGGCTCCCAGACCTCCAGACCCCTGCCCCAGGACCAGTGGCTCATCCTGGATCGCTTTCTGACTCGAAGGAGGGCGAGTTGAGACAAGAGAAACTCAGAAAATCGTTCCACGGACCCCTCCCGATGTCCGAATGCACCAGCTTCCCGGGCTGCGTCCAGCCGGGGCGACGAGGGGGCACCCCGAAGGCCAACTACCATGGTCTCAGCTGGCCCTCCTCTGACTGATGGTCCCAGGGCCCGAAATGGGCCTCCAAAGGCTGAACAATCTGGAGGACGTCGGCACTAAACAGAGAAAAACAGAAAGAACATAAGATGACAACAAAACAAGAACCAAAAAAACACTACGTTCTCTGAAGGCGTCCCCCCTTACTGGTGGGCGAAAAACAGATCCGTATCCGCGGCCTCACGGGCCAAGCCCCTGGGCCACGACCCCGCGAATACGGAGTCTCTCTTCGCGGATGCCCCGCGTGGAACGTACCCGTGCGACCGCGCAACCCTCTGACTCGCACCCCGAAACCCAGACCGCTCGTGACCCCTTGCTCGCCGCCGTGTCTGGGGCAATGCAACACGGTGTCCTCGCCCCCGGCGGCCCCCGCGAGGGGCTGCTGCCCTCGCGAGGGCGCGCGCGCGCGCGGGCGAACGCCGCTGCGCGTCGGAGAAAAGGGCCGCCTGGCAAGGGGCAGGCGCGAAAATTGCCGTGGAGGAGAAGGGGCTGCGCAGAGAGCACCCGTGCAACACCCCCACCTCTGCCACCCTCGGGGACCTTCTGACCCGGGTCGATCCAGACCCGGGTCAGTCGGGCTTCGCAGGATCCTGCAGGATCCTGCACCCGAGCCCGGGTCAGTGCACTCCTGGCTCTGCAATAAATATATATATATATACACACACATACATATATATATATATATATATACATATACATATACATATATATATATATATATACATATACATATTCATATACATGTACATATACATATCTATATATATATATATATTGCAAGATCCGCGCCCTGACCGACTCCCGGTGGCCTGGAACCCCCGTCTCCCGAGCCCCGACGCCTGGCCAGGGCTGGCACCCGGCCCCTGCGCGGTGTGCGCGCCCTCCTGGCCGAGGCCAGCGGGAGCCCGGACGCCGCGGCTCCTTCGCAGCAGGCGACTTGGCCTCTGCTTCGGGCACCCGGGGCCCTCACAGAGATCGAGGCGGCTTGGAAGCTGCCGCGGGCGGGTGGGGTCCAGGGCTCCCGCCGTGATCCTCTGCGACGCTTCCATTGTCTCGCGACGTCGGCTCTCGGGGGTGGTGGTGTACAGCTGCCTTCTGCGAAGGGGAACCCAGCCTCCGACGCCCCGACCTGCTCGAGCCGCCGCTCCCGGGCCCCTGGGGCCCCTTCCCCGGGACCGGCTGCTCATCCCCAAGGGGGGTTCCTTGACGGTCCTGTGGCACAGGATCGGGGAGACGTAAGACCCGGGTACGGGGGACTCGGAAATCCCCGACGAAGTCGTCAAAAAATGACGAGGCCGAGCCTGCATTTTGACGAGGCCTCCCGCTGCAGACATCCCACGAAACTCCTCCTCGTCAAAATCCGTGTCGCGGTCGTCAAAAAACGATGGCGAACCCGAGTCCCGGCAAACCCAGGTCTTACGCTCCCCCGACAGGAGGCCGCTTCCGGGCCGCTTCCGGAGGCCGAGCAGCAGCAGAGGGCCCGCCTCGGGCCGCCGGACCTGGGCAGAAGGAAGATGAATGAGACCAGGCACGGAAAAATGCATCGCGCGAAAACATCGCTGACGGCAGTTCGGGCCATCGCCCCTTGCGCTCTTTCGCGCTCTAGGAAAGGGTACAGCGCGCGCGCCGGCGAGGGGGCCGGCGCTGCGTTCGGACGGCCGCGGCAAGCTGGCGAGGAGAGGTCCGAGGCCCTGCTCCGCGCCACGGAGCCGCGCGGCGAATCGGCGAGCTGCCGAGGAGAAGAGGAGAAAGAAAGAAAGAAGAGGCTATACGGTCGGGGACGTTTGCTTCGAGGATGGACGGACCCCCCTTTCGTAAAACGTGGTTTAGTGAGAGCGACCTGAAGCCCAAACCTGGCGGGCGCAAGCCTGGAAAATCACGGCCACGGCGCCCTCTCGAGAACCGAAAACGGACAATTCACTAATCGACGTGTCACTGTTGGGGGTTCTGTCCACCCCCGATTGCTTAGCGTGTCACTGCGGCGGTCCCTGCGACACTCTACGCCCTGCGAGCGGATAGCGTGTCGCCCTGCTCTGCGTGGCGGGAGGCTTGGAAAAAACCGGGACGTTGACGCTCGGAGACTGCGACATGGCTAGCGTGCCGCGAGAAGCGTGGTGGGCCAGAACCGGCGGCGCGACTCGCCGCTGAGCCCGAGTTCCTGACCGTAAATACCAAGGGGCCATGAACACAAGACGGGCATGCGTCGACCGTGTTTATCTGCGGTCGCCACAAAAGGGAGGTGAGGGCACGCTGGAGCAGACGCTCGCCTGATGTCTCGCCGGAGCGGAGAAAGGCGCCCACTAAGGGGCTGCGCGTGGGATCCACAGAGGGACTGCGCGTGTGGGGGCCCCGACGGGCCGGGCGCTTCTGTCGACGAGGCTCCTGGCATTGGACACGCAGAAGGCATCTATACACCATCACCACCATGCCAGGCCAGGGCCATCCTAGCCCTGGCATGGTGTATACGCCATCCCAGCCGAGGCCAGGAGGGTCTATGCACCATCCTGGGTCCCAGGATGGCCCTGGCCTGGCACGGTGGTGGTGTATAGATGCCTTCGTCGCATTGGACGAACCGGCGGCCCGCCGAGGGTGGGTATAGCGGAAGGGGGTGGGGGGACAAGCCTCCCCGGCAGGCGGAGGGGCTCCTCGTCTGAGACCCTGCGGCCTCCCGAGGAGCCCCACATCCGAGGATATCCTCCTCCTCCTCCTCCTCCTCCTCCTCCTCCTCCTCCTCCTCCTCCTCCTCCTCCTCCTCCTCCTCCTCCTCCTCCTCCTCCTCCTCCTCCTCCCAGCGGCGGCGGCGGCGGCGGAGCCAGCAGCGGCTGGCGGAGCCGCCGTTGCGGCCGAGGAGCGCGGGCGCGCGCAACCGGTGGCGCTCTGTACCTCGGACCCGGGTGAATCCAGACCTGGGTCAGCCAAGCTTCGCAGGATCCTGCAAGATCCTGGAGGATCCTGCAGGACCCTGCACCCGAGCCTGGCTCAATGCGGCCCTGTCCCTGCAGGATCCTGCCAGGTCCGGCGCTCCGACGGACCCCCGTTTGCATGGACCCCCGTCTCTTCCTCTTGAGACCTGGCCCACGGGGCTTCGGAGGAGGCCGGCGAGGCTCCTTGAGGAAACGGGAGGCCTGCTGAGCCTTCCGAGCGGGCCTGCCCCCTCTGCCCTGCCCCCCCGGGCGGGCCGCCGCAAGAAGGCCTGCTCAGGCACCAAGCACCTCTGGGGCGGGCTGCTCTCCAGTCGGCACCTTGTCGGAGGCCGTCGGTTCCGCGTTGTCTGCGGCCGGCTCCTTGTCGGAGGCCTTCGACGCGGCGAGGTCCTCGACCGCCGTGGTCGACCCCTGGTATGGATCGGGGCCGAATGCGGCGAGGAGCGCCGGGAGCAAGATCAGGCCGTGCGCGAGGCCGAGGATCACCGTCAGGAAGAAGGTCTGGAAGAGCACGCGGAAGACGTAGCTCTTCGACAGCGACAGGAGCAGCACGCCGAGGAACGTCGAGATCCCCCCGCACAATACCGCGGAGCCGACATCGCCCAGCGTCGCGACCACACGCTGCGAGCGCGTACCCTGGTGCAGCATGAAATTGTGGCCCACGTGTGCGGCGTAGTCGATGCACAGGCCGACTGAGATGACGAGCTGAATCACGGAGACGTTGTCGATCGCGAGGCCCCACATGTTCATGCACCCCAGGATGTCCACCACGGTCATGACCACGACCAGGAAGACCAGTAGGGCCGTGAGCGGATGGGCAAGCAGCACCAGCGCGATGACGAAGACTGCGGCCAGGCACAAGCCGACGCTCTGGAACAACTCCTTCTTGATGATGCGGAACGTCTCCCAGCTCAGAAAGTTATACGAGTACGGCATGGCGCTCCCCCCCGGGAGGTCGTTCCAGCTCTCGCACGTCTCTCGCAGCTCGTCCATCACCTCGATGGCGCGATCCGCGTCCACGACGAGGCGCCCAGCCACCACACGGTTCATAGCCTCGAGCTCGGCGCTGAACCGGGAGGCCTTTGGGGGGAGGGAAGAAATACCGATGTTGCTACTCCCCGAACCTCCCTGGGGGTCCGTGCTGACCAGAATTTGAAGGAGAATCCAGCCGTGGCGACGAGGGCTCTCCAGGACGAGCAGGGGTATTTGAGCAGGGACTGACCGTCCCGGCATTCCTATAGTCACACCACGAAATGTTCTTAGAACCCGAAAATGTTCTAAGAACAAAAACAATGTTCTTAGAACATACACCCGATGTGTTGAAACAAGACAGTCACAGCCAGAAATGTTCTAAGAACATTTCGTGGGAACCACAGAAAAGGTTCTTAGAACATTGTTTGGTAGGGCTATAGGCGAGCCAGGACGCTTCGCCACTGCTTGAGGTATCGGCATCTCTTCCTGCACTCCGCCTTGATGCCCTGCGCCGGGTCGGCCTCGTCCACCCAGACGACGTCGCCGCTGTAGCGGGCCCCCGCGCCCTGGAGCCACGCGGCCAGGGAGCTGTAGTACTCGGTCTCGCTGGTCACCAGGCCGCCGCTGTCCACGGCCTGGGCGGCCGAGCCGGCCAGGCAGGCGGCCTTGAACGCATCCGCCCAGGAGCGGAACGACGCCTCTGTGGCGGGCTTGACGAAGTCCAGGGCGCTGAGCTTGCTGGAGATGCTGGTGAGCCCCGCTTGGGCCGCGTAGTAGTCCCCGCCCAGCGTGACAATGTCCACCGACTGGCCATTGCCGCTGAAGTAGACGTCGGCCTTGTTGAGGAAGCTGGCGGCGTACGAGTCGTCGGGGATGAAATTGCGCTGCGTGTCCTGCACGGCGAGCTCAGAGGCCTGCCACGCGCAGACCCCGCAGAGGCCGGAGAAGAGCACGATCACGACGGCGATGACTGCCGGGCTCGCCAGCATGGGCGCGGAGGCACGCTGCAGGAACTGGCCGATGCGGCCGCCCTTGTGCTGCGGCGGCGAGCAGAGCATCTGGTTGGGGTCCTTCCCGCCCTTCTCGATGGCCGCCGCGGCAAGCTCCGCTGGCGTCGTGGGGCAGCAGGGGCAGCCCCTGGGGCCGATGCACGGGCAGCAGTCGATCCTCCCGGCAGCCACGCGGCGGGCGTCGAACGTGGCCAGGGCCGCGAAGAAGAAGATCTGCAGCAGGAACAGCATGAGCACGGCAAGCGCGGCGTACATGCAGAAGGAGGACAGGGCGGGCAGGGCAGAGGAGACGGAGATGGCGAAGGCCACGAAGTCCGTCAGGGACGTCACCATGATCGAGACCCCAGCGTGGGAGATCGCCTTGGCGATGCGCTCGGACACCGGGAGCGCAGGGCTCGTGCGGTCGAACGCGTTCATGATCACAAAGGAGTCGTCAACCCCGATGCCCAGGATCACGAAGGGCAGGATGCCGTGCGCCGGCGTGTAGGGGAACTGCATCCACGCGGCCAGGCCATAGCCCGCGGCTCCCGCCAGGACAATGGAGAGCGTGCAGCCGACGGCCAGGAGCGCACGGGACTCGATCTTGTGGCAGAGGCCACCCAGGTTCAGGACAAGGTAGATGATCATGAGCATGAAAGCGCCGTTGATAAGCCCCACGTCGCCGCGGATCACGTCTCCGAAGGCGTCGCCCAAGGAGCGCTCGGCCCGAGCGAAGACCCTGAAGTGGGCGGAGTCGTAGCTGCAGGCGCAGTTGTCGTCGTCGTCGCAGATCGGGGCGTCGCAGCCGAGAAGGGTCAGCAGCTCCGACTCCCATTCCTCACACGGTGCCCACAGATGTTCAGAAACAGTGCCTGCCGGCCCCCTCCCTGTCCACGCTCCGCTTCCCCTCCCCGCTCTGAGGAGGGCGAAGGAGAGAGACGGAGGCACTGCGTCTGCGCGTTTGTGGGCCAAAGGCCTCGGCGACCGGATCGGTGTAACCGGACTCGCCCTCCTCGCGGCCGTTCTCCATGAAGTAGGTCATCATCATGGCCTGTGCGCTCTGCACGTCCGTGCCCGAGAACGTCAGCCCGCCCAGCAGGCTCTGGAGGTCGTCTTGCGATTGGCCGTCCGAGTTGAGCGTGGCGAGCGGGTCGGCGTCCGCGCTCAGGGCGCTCGCGTCGTAGTCCCAGACGCCGAGCACCGACCTGATGAAGCAGGGCTGGCCATCGCTCGGCATCTGAACGCACAAAGAGGTGAAGTTGCCTCCGGGCGCCGCGACAGCCGTGATCTCGTGGTGCAGCGCCAGAGCACCCAGCAAGAAGGCCTTGTCCAGGACACTCCCGCTCTTGGCCTCGAGCACCACCTGGTTGACCCGCATGGTAGGGGGGAAGTGAGACGCGTAGACCTTCTGGTCTGCCTGTGCCTGCGTGTCTTGAGGGATCCACAACTTGTCGGCACGCGACTCTGACTCCAGCTGTGAGAAGCCGCTCATCAGCAAGAAGCAGACGCCTAGCGCGACCATGATGGACGTGCAAGGCCGGGTGCCAACAAACGAGCCCATAGCATAGAACTTCGCCTGGAAGAAATCATCCACCTTGCCGGCCACTTTCCCAAAGACTGTAGGCTTCTTCGTCTCCTCCATTTGGCCCGACATGTTTCTCCAATCCCGAAATAGCAGGATTATATGATCGAGCGTTCGCTTGATCTGAAAAAAAACGCAGGCGAAAAGACCTGCAGAAGACAAAAGAGGAGGAGCAGCAAGAAAGGAGGAGCTGGAGGAGCAGGACTCGGACAAGGAGGGAGGAAGCAAGACCAGAGAGAAACAAATTAGAGCAAAGCCTCGCTCCCCATTCTCGTAGTATTCCATGTTGCACCTTTTTTTCACCGCCCTACCTTCATCATCGTCATCATCGGCATCGTTATCATCATCCTCTTTTTCCTACTTGTCATTGTCCTTCCTCCTCGCCCTATCCCCATCGAAGAGCAAGGCTTCAGCACCCCTGGGTGGGAACGAGAAAGGTGGGAGAAAGGGGAGGATAAAGGGATGGTGAAGGAATGAGGAAGCAGTAATGCCGAGGAGAGAGGATATGGGGGGAAGGGAGGAGGACGACGCCGACGAAGAGGAGAAAGAGGAGAAGGAGCAAAAAAAGGAGAAGGACCAGGACGAGGATAAGGGGAAGCGGGGGCGGCAGGGATAATGGGAAGAGGGGGAGGCGGCGGAAGGGGAGGAGCAAGAGCAAGAGAACGGCGACGAAGTTCAGGGGAGGGGGAGAAGAGGAGCAGC